AGCCAGGTCCTGATGTGCAAAACCAATCTCTAAAAGACATTTTTTGTATGAGTGAGAAATTTTTAAATGACTGGATGTCTGATGATATTATGGGATCTGTGTTCTTTTTCCTGGATATGATAATAAAATTGTGCTGTGTAGGAGAATGCCCTTGCTCTCAGAAAAGCCCCATGCTGAGATATTAGGAACTAAGTGTCACGTCTGCAACTTATTTTCACATTTCAGCAAAGAAAGAAAGAAGAAAGGGAGGAAGGGGAAAAGGAAAGGAAGAAAAGGAGGAAGGGAAGAAGATAAGAGAGGAAGGAAGAAAAGAGAAGGGAAGAACAGGAAGAGAGAATGGAAGAAGGAAAGAAGGAAAGAAGAAGGGAGGGAAGGAAAAAAGGAGGAAGGGCAGAAGGAAGGAAAGAAGGAAGGAAGGGAGGGAGGGAGAGAGGGAAAATGGAGGAAGAGAGGAAGGAAGGAAGGCAGGGAAGAAGGTAGGAAAGAAGGAAAGGAGGAGGAAAGGAAGGAAAGGAGAGAGGAGAGGATGGAAGGAAGGAAGGCTAGACAGAGGGACAGGAGGAAGGGAGAAAGAAAGGGCAAGAGGGAAGAGGGGAGAGAGGGAGAAGGGGAACAAAAAATAGGGAGTGAGTGTGTGACCAATAAAGCAACTATGATAAAATACTAATAATTGTTCAATCTAGGTTAGTGGTTCTCAACTAGGGCCAGTTTTGACCTTAGACGACATTTGGCCACGTCCAGAGACATTTTTCACCGTCACAACTGGGGTGTGGAGTACGTGCTACCAGCATCTAGTGGGCAGAGACTAGAGATGCCGGCAAACACCACACCGCAGCCCAGCACAATAAAGGATTCTCCAGTCAATACTGCCAAGGTTGAGAAATCCTCATCTACATAAAGGATACACTGAAGTTATTTTATGATTTGTCAAGGTTTTTGTGTATGTCTACAATTTTTCACAACACAAAATTGAGGAAAGCTTAAAAATAAAAACATCTAAATAGAAATACCTTGCAGATCAAGCAGAATATGTCTACGCAGTTTGGTGACCATAGCTGGTTACCATTCACAGTCATTTATTCTAATCAATAGTGGTTGACTGTCGCTGTTCTTGCAGCTGCTGAATGGGCATTTGTTCAGTTTTTACTAGATCCCGTGCACGCCTCCCCGCACCGCTTCCTGGAATTGCTGTCTTTCTCCTTTTCTCAGCCCTAATTAGCCCAGAAGGAGGCAGGCCACAGGCCCAGGACTCTGAACCTGCAAACTGGTATCTTGGAGACCTCTGCAGGAAAACCCAAGTTTACTGGCCACCAGGGGCAAAGTTTATAATGGGGGGGCGGGGGAGGGGCATGACAACATGGTTGTCTTTCAAGAGAATATGCTTTCAGTCTGGATAAGAACAAACCCCCATTCAGGGTCCCTTGCAGCTCCAGACAAAAATTAAGAGGTTGTAGCTGGCAGGTTAATTTCACCTGGAAGCTGCTTTGCATCATAGCAGCCTCTCTGATGCCAAGCTTGGCATGCTGGCACCATTGGAGCATCCCTTAGCACCATCCAGCAAAGGCTACTGAGTCAATTGCCATAGCTGGGATTCCAGATGATTAACTGCATAAGCAGCCCAGGACACATTTGGCGGTACCTGGGGCAGCCCCAACATCACAGAAACAAGCAACAGAATGCAAGTAAGCCTGAGCACAGTGGCTCATGCCTGCAATCTCAGCACTTTGGGAGCCAGAGGTGGGTGGACTGCATGAGATCAGGAGTTCGAGACCAGCCTGGCCAACCCCAGGCCAGGTGAAACACTCTTTCTACTAAAAATACAAAACAATTAGCCAAGCATGGAGGTGCACACCTGTAGTCCCAGCTACTTTGAAAGCTAAGGCAGGAGAATTGCTTGAACCTGGAAGGCAGACATTGCAATGAGCCGAGATCCTGCCACTGTACTCCAGCCTGTATGACAGAGCAACACTCCGTCTCAAAAAAAAAAATGCAAATAAGAGAGTCACAGTGGCTCCTCTCCTTTCTCCAGGATTAATTTATCCACTCCCCAACCCTATGAAATATTCCCAAATCCAAGACTAGTGTTTTCCCAAGTGTGGACCACTTTATCTCAGAGCCATTAGTGGAGGGGAGGTTGTTAAATGAAGATTTCTCGGACCCACTCAGAACCTATTGATTCAGAATCTCTGTGGGTCAAACTCAACAATCTGCATGTTAGGACACTGCTCCAGATCCTGATGTTTATTCAGTCTGAAAACATCTGTCTCAGACTCAAAACCAGGAGACGGGTAATGCACAATTTCCTAACTGTGTGACCTTGGACACAGCATCTTACCTGAGCCATGATTTTCTTGTATGTATATGGATATTAAAATAGCACCTGTCTGTGTAAGAGCTAAATGAGGGGGCGTTTTACACACACAGCCCCCAGCACAGTGCCTGCCTCCACCACGTACATTGCTCAGCAGGTGTTAGTTCCTTTTCCTTAACAGTGATTGGGGGAACATTAGCATCACCTGGAGAGCTTTTCAAAGTGCAGAGGTAACCAGGCACAATGGTTCACACCTGTAATCCTAGCGCTTTGGGAGGCCAAGGTGGGCGAATCACTTGAAGTAAGGAATTTGAAACCAGCCTGACCAACATGGTGAAACCCCTTATCTACTAAAAATAAACATTAAATAAAAAGTACAGATGCCTAGGTCCCACCTTAGAGATTTGGATTTAAGTAACCTAGGGTGAGACCCCTGGTGACAGGACTTTTTTATAAAGCATTCCAGGTGATACTAAACAGCAGTTACAGTTGAAAATCACACCGTAGAAGCTGCCAGTAAAAAAATAAACAACTCTCTTCAGGAGTATGCACTTCCACTCCATTCTGGAATTCTCAAAAATGTATACTGGGGACAACCTGTGTTGAGGCTCTGGTACCCCAAGACTGGGTCCTCCAGATTCTGGCTCCAGGCCGACCCTCTTTATACCTGCAGAAGAAAGTAGCTGCAACCCGCTCACCTGTGGTCATTTTTCCCCCAGCAGAGCTGCACGGGGTGGGGGGGCCGCAGGACCGGGAAGTTAGATCCCTGCTGGGCCCTTAAGTAACCACAGAGAGCTGTCACCGGAACATCCAGATCAAAGAGGGCTGATCTAGCATCACTTTCTCCCATAGATGCCCACATGTCAGCTTCTCTCCCCACCTGCCTACCTCCCGTCAGGCCAACTAACAGGGAGGGCTCCTTTAAGAGCTGATTCGCGAAGACAGGGCTTGGTGGAGATTTCAGCAGTAGTTAACCGAATCTGCAAAGCAGCCTACCTGTCTCGAAGTGAATCTTTCCCTACCAAGGCGACACCCCCTGCTGCAGTCCTGAGACCACTGCTCCCCACGTCTTAACACAGATGAATCTTAATCCCGGGAATTCACAGGGACTGGCCTGGTCGGTGGGGCTGGGGACAGGACACCCTGTGGCTGCGGAAGGTGGGCAGGGCCAGAGCGTTACTCCTTTAGTAGGTCAGCGTTTCTTGAAGCCCCTGGGAGCTCACTTCTGGGCGGCAAGACCCCACTATCCACCCACAGCTCCCTGCTGACCCAAACCGAGAACTTCCTCACCTCTTCCCCCCAAATCTCTTCTCTCTGGAAATAAAGAAAAAAATCTCATTGGATACTCTGCGTATAAGTAGAAAATAATTAATAGTGAGGTGGTGATGTTCCTTTGCCTATTTTTGGTTGGTCTCTTTGTTCAGATTTTTTTAGGCATCAGACGGAGCGCGTGCACACGCGCGCGCGCACACACACAGGCCCCCGGCGAAGGGGGCGCGGGAGAAGGGGTGGGTAGAGGGAGAGGAAAACACAGCGACTTCGTTACCCAGACTCGGACGGAAAGGGGACAGTTAAAGTTGGTGCCCCAGCCCTCCAGCTGTTCACAGGCAGCTAGTCGCTCCTTCCACCCCGCCCGCCTCACGCCAACCGCCCCCCCCCCCCGCCCCCGCCTCTCCGGCGGCCGGGGGTTTAGGGCTTAATGCTCCTTGTGGCTGAGTCCTCCGCCTCCAAAGTTACGGACGGAGTTTGCGAATCGATTTCGACACTTGAAAAAAAAAAGTAAGAAAAAGGCAAATAGCTCTGTTAATTCCCCAATGCCTTTTCCCATCTGCTGCGACTAGCCGGTGCTGGGGCTTGCATAATGAACAAGGCAAACCCGAAAGTTGATGAAATCAGGGTGCATGGAAGTAAGAGCGCGCGAGGAGGGGTCCCGGGCCCCCGCAGTGCTAGCCAACGAGGGCAAAGGGCGCAATCTGCAGCGATGGCCCCGGCCTAGGGCTTGGAGAGACGGAGGTCGGAGAAAGGGATGAGGTGGGTAAAGGGGCAGGGGCAACTGAGGTCCGAAATCCCCGAACCGCGAAGCTCTGAGAAAGCCAGGCGGCCGCTCCAAGCAAGGCTTTTGTTCTCGCCCTCCCCTCACTCCGCCTCCCTCGCCTCCTTTTCGCGAGTCGTACGAGTTGCAGGCGGCACTCACTCTGATCCTCCCTCCTTCACACACACGCGCGCGCGCGGGCTCACACACGCCCCCCTTCCCTTTCGGGCTCGCCTGCCCCTGTTTACCAAGATGCTAGCACCTGGAATCCACGGGGCGCCATAGACCCCCTCCCCAAAACCCAAGACTTCGGGGCCACCGGCTCCCAGGCTGTGTCTCAAGTCCGCCTCAATCACTAGCCGGAGAAGGCGGCCTGAGGGCGAGGGGGACAGTGTCCTACACACACACACACACACACACTCTCTCTCTCTCTCTCTCTCTCTCTCTCTCTCTCTCTCTCTCTCTCTCTCTCACGCACACGCTCATACCCACACCTGTGCTGAGCCCAGAGCCCCTTCTCCGCGCTCCAAGATGAAGTTGGCTTCCCGGCGACATCCCCCAGCGGAGAGGCTGATATGCAGGGAGCGGGGACCTGGGGGAACGCCATTGCCTAGGGGAAGGTAGGGAGGAGAGCCGGGAGAGCGAAGCCCGGAGGGGAGGGCGAAGGGGAGGCAGCCCACCTGGACATGTGCTCCCTTTGGGGCCGGTGCGCTTTCTCCAGCCCCAGCTTGGTGAAGATGCCCACGAGCACCATGACGGCCACCACCCCGCAGATGATGTAGACGATCAGGTTGGTCTTGTCCTTGGTGGGGTCGTGCAAGGGGTCGTCCTTGCGGGCGGGGGGCTTGCCGGTGTTGAGCCAGAGCGGCGTGTCGTAGTTGGTGCAGGTGCTTTGGTTCAGTCGCCGCTTCTTAAATGTGCAGCAGAACCGGAAGCCACAAGTCCCGCAGCAGAAGATGAAGTCGCCCGAGCTGCAGTTGAATGGCGGGTCCCACTGGCCCATGACATCGAAGTAACCCCGGCAGAAGTCAGGTGTGGGCGCCCGGGTCGGGGGCGCGTCCGATGCCTCGGCGCCCTCGCTGGCCTCTCCCGAGGCGGCCCCGGAGCGGTTGCCCCCCGCCAGCAGCAACACGCCGCCCAGTTGCGCCAGCTGCCCGTGCCCCACTCGCTCCTGCGCCCGGCACACGCGGGCGCACAGCTCGGTGAGGAAGCAGCCGAGGAGCAGCCGGAGGACGCGGCGCATGGTGTCTCCCAGCCCGGGCTCGGCCGCTCGGCTGCCGCTGGAGCCGCTGCGGCCGCCTCTCGAGGCGCGGCCGAAGCTGCCGAGGCTGCTGCCGGGGGCTGCGAGCCGCCGCGGGCCGCACATGCAGGGAGCGGCTCGGGGCGCTCGGTGGTCGGCGGCCACTGCGCTCGGCTCAGCCCGCGTTCGCCTCCAGCGCGCCGCGCGCTGAGGGGCCGGCCGGGGAGGAGCGCGCCCGGCCGGGCGGGGTAGGATGAGCGGGGGCAAGCGCGAGGTGCAGGTCCGGCCGGCCACCGGGGGAGGCGGGGGCGGAGAGCGGGAGAGAATCGGGCTGGCAGCGCCTATCCTTGGCGGGCGGCCCCTGACTGGCCGCCCCGAGCCCGCTCGCAGTATCCCTCTCACCTCTCCAGCTCGCCAAGTGCGCTGGTGAGAGCGAAGCGACACTTGTGGAATGAAGGGAGGGCAGGAGGGAAGGGGGAGGGGGAGGAGGGCGGGCAGAGGAGGCGCGGGTTGGGGGGGCGGGCGCGAGCTCTAGAGGGGCGGGGGCGCGGGGAGAGGTGACTCGAGCGGGAGCTAGCTGGGGGGCGTGCAGAGCTGAGCCAGGCGAGCGGGCGGGGAGGAGCGAGCTCGGCAGCCACGGAGGCTGGAGGAGCCGCTCGGATTTCCCGGCAGGTTGAGAATCGCGGCGGGACCTCCCGCGCCCTCTCTGGATGGGAGGCGCGGCTCAGACCTGTCCAGAGCGCAGAGGCGGCTCAACTCGTGGCTTTTTCACGGGTGCGCGTGCAGGAGCGGCGGCCGAAATCTGTCCGTGAGGGAAAGGATGACTCCGAGAGGATGGGGACAGACTAGATGGCTTTCACTCCAACACAGACTGGGTGCAGTCTGATCAGGATCGCCCCTCCCAGGCGTGCGGGGCCGTCTCGCCCTTCCCGGCTGCGCCCTCCAGCCCTGCGCGCAACCCGCGTGGCTCAACTCCCTGGGGCGAGGCAAGGACCCAGGCTGAGCTGGGAAGGACAGGTGGCAAGCCCCTGGGCCGGGGGTAAGCACCCACGGGGAGAGGGGTTTGGAATGAACTAATAGAAGAAGGGGTCGGGAGTAGGAGGGCACAGCAAAACAAGGCCGAGGCTATGGCGTGTCCTGCAAGGTCTCTCCTTGGAAGTCCCCAAGCCCCTCGGACCTGCCGCTTTCTGTCCCTCTTCGCCCCCGCAGCGTTCTCTGCGCTCCACAGGAGGGCACACCGCGGCGCCGCCTCTGCGCTCTCGGATCTGGCGCAGCGCAAGGCCTGGGCACCCAGCCTCAGCCACCCTCCGGGACCTGGAGCCCGCGCATCGGTCTCCGGAGCTGGCTGTCCCCTGTCCCCACGAATCCCCCCGGAAATCCTCACCGGGGGCTGCGGAGCTCTGCCTTCCTTCCTCAGCTTCCAGCCTCCCGTCTCTTGTGTGTTTCCAAATCTGCCCTCTCTCTCCTAAGCGAATTCCAGCTCCCCGTAGGCCCTCTCTCATTTCTCCCACCTCTTTCTCTCCTCTGCTTGAATTTGACTCCAGTAGCCCCAAAACCGGATTTGCACCAAAGCTGCTACACCAAATTTAGAGCTCCCCACGCCCCGGCATTTTGTTTTTTAATTGCATTAACTAAGTATACACTTTGCAGGCTGCTAGGCGATTTGCAAGGAGATGATGTTTCCACAACCCTCCTCTCCACTTGGCTGCAGTCAAGGGCTTCTCAGGGCATCTTCAGAAAAGTTGGACCACATGTAAAATGGTTTACCAGGGTCCCCTGAATTGGGAACACGTGGGAGGATTTATTGGGAATCTGTTGCAAGTCTTCTCCAAATGAGAGGAAGTTTGGCTAATCGCCCCTTCGCTTTTAAAAAAATTCACCTTTTGATGTTTCAAAAAAGATTTGCAAACACACAGCCGGACACTGACATGCTGCTCTGGCTCAACCCAGGAGTATTATATTCCAAACCCACCTGGGGTAGGTATGAACGTGTTTAATCCAGATCCACCAGACTCATTGTAATAGGATCCCCAAAATAGGACAGTATGGAAAATCTGTCTGTCATGACTGGCAACCCACGCCCACCACCACCTTGTGAGTCCTACAAACACAAGCATTGGTGTGTGAGAGCTAATGAGAGCTGACATGTATTCAGTGCCTGCAACATACCCACTAAGCTTGCTTTTTCTAAAAGCAGCTCCTCAAGGAAGCTTAAGCAGTGCCCAGCATATAGCAGACAGTCTGGAAATGTTTGCTGAACCATCGACTGGTCTGTAACTCTCTTTCCCTTAGGGAATAGTACCAGGCCCACACAACAGGGAGAGATGAGCCCCAAAGCAATTAAACCAGTTGCCCAAGTAGCTCCGGGAAATGAGCTGCCAGAACTGGCATTTGACCCATGAAATTTGAGTCCAGAAACTGCCCTCCAGCTACCACATAAAATAGGAGTCCAAACTCTCTGTCTACCTCCTATAATGTGTTTATGATTTTGTCTGTCTACCTGCACTGAGATGTAAACTGTGTAATGGAGAGGGTCCTGACTCCCATAACATGTCCCCCAGCACCCAGAACCCAGGCATATCGGTCCACAGCTGTGCCTTCCAGCCCTTCAGGCAACTCCAGGGATGTGAGCCTTTTGGGTTGCATGCAGAGCTGCAGGGCACAGCCCCGGAGTACAGAGCTAGGCAGGGTAAACACTCAAAAATATGCACGGGCTATATTAATTAATTAGAATATTTTATGTAAGACTGTCTAAAACCAAGAGAGGAAAGGAGCACTTAGGGCATGGGTAATGGAGTTTCTTCTGTCATTCTGTATAAAAGGGTGAGAGTTTTATATATACTAAATCAGAAATGGAAAGGGACCCTGCAGCAGGCTTCCCATGGTCCAGGACGCTGTGGCTCAGAGGTTAAGACCTTTGTGGGAGATTACATGGCCAGCAATGGTCCTGCCAGGGCTGGATTTAGATGCCTGACTCCTAACCCAGGGCTCTTCCTCCACTCTTTGCCTGACTCCGCCTCAGCAGGCATCAGGACAGAGTTTAACCAGGGACAGGGGAGAACAATAGGTCACAGACATCTTTTTGAGGGTTGGGAGTTTTAAGGAAGTGTAAATTTGATTTAAAAAATAATTCAGAAAAAAGAGACAAAATCTGGACAGAAAAGTCCATTTCAGAATCTGCTTCCAACCTCTGTAAAATATTGCGTGTCACCTGGAAATTTGACTCCGGTCCTCAGAGGAGACTCACTGTGGCTGCTGCTCCTCGCTTTAATTAACAGAGACTGCCCCCTGTTTGTGTTGAGAAGAGTGCAAAGCTTGTGCTTGGGAGAGAAGCAGAGAGCCACCCTGCGTGGCTTATGTGCCAATGATTCTAAACCGTAAACCTCCTATCCCCCCATGAGCTGTCCCCAAACCGGATTCCCTTTCTGCTCCTGTCTCTCCTGTCTGCTGTAGCGGCCGCCATTCCCTGGAATATTGCCCCAGCCTGTTTCCCAAGCCTTTGAAAAATATTAAAAATAGAGAAGAATCCTCTGGGTTCATTTTACTCTGCAAAGAAAAATGTCAATTTCCTCCTAGCACATCAAGTCAGTAAATACAGTTACTACCATGGGTGGGTACTTATTGGGAACATGTGAGTGAGAAAGCATTTCTTTCAGGGATTCTGGGGGCTCGGGGTAGGGGTTATAAATGACCTAATTGGAACACCTGGCAGACTCATGGACGATTAAAAATCATCATCAATGCCCTCCCACCATGATCCAAATGAATTCATGCAAATGAACTGATATTAAAATGCAGCTCTTAATGAAAGTACTTTCTATGAAAGAGAGGATGACATTATTTACAACACAGGCACTTTTCATATCTAAAGAAGAATCTCATTTGCTCTAGCCTTAATTATGTCAGACTGCAGTACACACAGCAACAAGAATGCAGTTGTACTCCCTAACAATTAGAGAAGGGAACCATGTATGAATAACAAAGGATGTTAGCTTACCAGGACATTGCAACCGCTGTCCTTAGGCATCTCAACAAATTGCATTAATATGTGCTCTGGTTCTCACCGGAATGAGTGGTTTGTTAATTGCCCTCATCAGGTGGCTTTTAGGGTTTCAAAGAGGTTTTTAAGCAACTGTTAGCCTTGAGGAGAAAAAAAAAAACAGATGAAACGGAAGTGAAATGTAGCTCACACTTTGCCAGTTTCAAGCAACGAGCTTATTTGATGTATTTTATTATCTCCTGAAGAGATGAGGGAATCCTTGTAGAAGTGAACTAGGTCTGGGCCCGGTGGGTGGGGTGGCCCACGCCTGTAATCCCAGCTCTTTGGGAGGCCTCCGTGGGCGGATCATGAGGTCAGAAGTTCAAAAGTAGCCTGGCCAATCTGGTGAAACCCCGTCTCTACTAAAAATAGAATTAGCCGAGTGTGGTGGTGCACGCCTATAGTCCCAGCTGCTTGGGAGGCTGAGGCAGAAGAATCGCTTGAACCGAGAAATGGAGGTTGCAGTGAGCCAAGATCATGCCACTGCACTCCAGCCTGGGCGACAGAGTGAGACTCCATCTCAAAAAAAAAAGTAGTTCTGAAGTATGGTTCCCCGGGTCTGGTGGTGGTAGGTAAGATGATTTTTGCTGGCACCCCAGCAAAGATCTTTGTTATATTAATAGTTTTACAGGTATTTCAATCTGTATTAGAAAATAATGCATCAAATATGGACTGACTGGCATAAATATTTAAGGTATATAGTTAACTGTTTTAAGTATATCAAAGTAAAGTCAATTTCAAAAAAAAGACATTATAGTATTTACAAATAAAATAAACAATGTGAAGTGTCTGGCACTAAAAACTGAAGCTTAGGAAGCACAGGCTTTGGTCTTTCCTCCATCCAGAGTTTCTCAATCTCAGAACTTTAGACATTTTGGACTGGCTACTTTTGGGTTGGGAGTGGTGGGTGGTGAAGCGCTACTCCCTGGAAAATTGGCCCAGCCTGTTGAAAAATATTCCTAAGCCTTTGAAAAAATATTAAAAGGAGAGAAGAATCATCTGGGTTCATTTTGCTCTGCAAAGAAAAAAGTTGATTTCCTCTGAACATGTCAAGTTGGTAAATATAGTCACTCCCATAGGTAGGTGCTTATTGGGAACATGCCCCTGTATGAAACATGTGAGTGAGAAAGTCTTGTGCTGTCTTGTTCAGTGTAGGACATTTAACAGCATCTGTAGACTCCACCCACGAGATGCCAGAAGCACCCCCTGGTTGTGACAACCAAAAATGTTGATGGACATTGCCAAATGTTTCCTCAGGGGCAACATTAATTGAAACCCACTGAGTCATGGCTATGTTTAAGTTCTGGCTGTTTCTCATAGGATATCTATGAATTTGAGTAACTCAATCTCTCCAAGCCTTAGTTTTCTTATCTGGAAAATGGGAATAAGAAGGGTGCCTGAGGAGGCTGAGGCGGGAGAATTGCCTGAACCCAGGAGGTGGAGGTTGCGGTGAGCCGAGATCGCGCCATGGCACTCCAGCCTGGGTAACAAGAGCGAAACTCCGTCTCAAAAAAAAAAAAGAAGGGTGCCTGTACCCAGGAATGTTACAGATGGTTGATACTTTGTATGAAGTGTGTGGCCAGTAAATGGAACCTCAGCAGTGCTTAATAAATGGTCACTCTTACTATAGTAAATCTGAAGGATGACAAGATGCCAGGCAATGCACTGATGTCCAGGAAGATAGATGACTGACACAAGTGATTTGCTCTCCATGGTCTCAAAATCTTTAGGGGAGGATGAACTATAGAGTTGGAGAAGCCTTTATGGGCACAGGACCTGTGCAGTCCCACAGTTCTCCATGCTCTAAAGGGCCCCATGCTTGGTTCAATGCTCTGCACTGGGATAAATCATTTTGACGTCTGTACTGAGCACCACCAGTATTGTAGCTGGTCTGGTAAACAGGTGATGCACCTCCAGCAGAAATAGGGGCTAAGGCTACGGGAACTTAGAAGAGGATGTTCAGCTCCACTTACATTTGATAAGTTGTAGTTAAATACATGTAAGCATTTTCAGAAGCAGCAGGAAGAATTTTGGTTAAACACTCTTCAAAAGCAGCTCTTAGGCCGGGTGCAGTGCCTCATGCCTATAATCCCAACACTCTGAAAGGCTGAGACTGGAGGGTCACCTGAGGTCAGAGCTCGAGACCATCCTGGCCAACATGCTGAAACCCCATCTCTACTAAAAATTCAAAAATTAGCCAGGGCTGGTGGCAGGCACCTGTAATTTCAGCTAGTTGGGAGGCTGAAGCAGGAGAATTGCTTGAACTTGGAAGGCAGAGGTTGCAGTGAGCTGA